ACTTAAAGGACTGCAAAGATGAGAAGAGCTGTACTGAAATACTCTCTCAATATTTGTCCTCAAAGCAAAGACATCTGGGGTATGCCAAATAATCATGACACAGGGTCAATAGAATTGTCACTAATATATTTTTTTGGTAAATATGCTATCTTGTGCTTTATCTGTATTTTCCAAGTGCCCACAAATCCCCTAACTTTATTCTTTATTCATATTACCCATCTCAGTTTTATAACTGAAATAATTTAGGCTTTTGTTACTGAATATTTTTTTCAGCTTTAATGTTCTTAGACACTAGTTTCTTTTAAAATTCATGAACACTTAAATAATTTCCCAACATTTTCATATTATTCCATTATCTGGAAGGTGGCCTAGAATATATTATAACATTTGACATTTTATTTCACAAAATTCCAAATGATTTCACTGTTTTTACTGAGAAGTAGGTTTCATATGAGCTCAGTAAAAAAATTTGGAACTTATGCCTCATATGCTTCACTGTTCTGACTGGAAAATTAAAGGGGAAATAACATGTGCTTCATTCATTTTCAGTTCATGATGGAATAAGAGCAGCAAGGTGTTCCTTCTCCCAAGGAACAAGCTATAGGACAAGAGGAGACAAGCAGGGAGGTTTAGGTTGGACATGAGGGAAAATGTCTTGATGGAAAGGGTTGTCCAGGGCTGCCCCAGGCTGCCCAGGGCAGTGGTGGAGTCCCCACCCCTGGAGGGGTTTCCAAGCCGTGGAGATGTGGGGTGAGGGACACGGGGCAGTGGGGACCTGGCAGTGCTGGGGAATGGATGGAGTGGATGATCTTAAAGGTCTCTTCCAACCAAAATTATTCTATGATTCTATGAGAAAAAAAGTCAGATCTTCAGCTCTATGAAAGATGGAAGATCAGTGATAATGGACATTAAAATACTAGTTATATGGACACACAAGGACATACTGGAAAATTAATTTGAATATGGTGGTTGTGACAGAAACACCAACACCATAAATGAGGAAAAAGTAGAGATTAAATGAAGGTGTAGATAGACTTGAATAACAAGCCCAGTATAACAGACCTAACAGAGACAAGGATTGAGAATTTTCAAAGAAACTGTGGAAGTGCCTTGTCCTGAGACTGGAAAACAAATCACTGTGACTTTCTGAACGCCACACATGACATAATAACACACACCACAGCCAACCTTCACACAGGAAGCTGAGCACAGCAGGAACCAGAGCCCTTTGCCACCAGAAAGTGCTCATTACACCCAGAAACTTGGCTCACAACTTAAATATTAATTCTCCCAGTCTCCCACCAAAGGACAAGTGATGCACATTGGGAAGTCTAGGACTGCACCAACATCCCCACCTTCTGCACCTCAGTTCTCAGAAGTGAAATTTCCACCCCCAGCCTCAAGTATCTGACACAACTGACTTCAGTCTCATCAAATGGCATCAAAAGGAAACATATGACTGACCCACATAAGAAGAAAAGAAGAATAATATGAAAAATGTCATCCTTTGTGTTTTTCTCCATCTCTTAATGAATGGACCAAGGACAATGGGAACAGTAATTACAGGGGACATTGAATGGCAAAACTATAATCAGAGACAAACTCTGCAGTGTATTTGATACTCTATTAGCATCAACAATCATGAATTCATAGAAAACAAGAGCGTCAAAAATATCTCCCTGTCTATTTAGAGCCCATTGTTTGCAGAAAAAGGCTGCTGCTTACGTTTTGCCTTTGATCATTTTGCTTCATTTTTTCCAGAGGAGAAGCTACCAGGGAAGTAGCTGCCCACTGCTTTACCCATTATTCTCTCAAGGCAGGGAAACCATCTTGAAGAAGAATTTTGAGAAGAAACCAAGTTCCTTCTCACCTTCCTGCAAATTAGTCCAACTGTAAACCTGGGTCAAATTAAAGCAGCTCAAAAAAAAGGGAGCTTATCTTTCTAATATCCAGCTCCTCATCCTTGAAAGGAGACACAGAGAAACATGTAATTCCATTTCCAAAACACAGGTGAGAGGACAATGTTCACTTGGCAGTCTTTAGACTCATTTGGGTGCCAATATCTCTTTCGGAAGCTGTCCAGTGTTGGGTCTCCCCTGGACCCCCAAGGACAGGCCCTGTGCCTCAATACCAGGGCTGGAAATGAGTCTAGCAGGGTATAAGACTGTGCAGTGCAGGAGGACTCTGCACTTGATCCAAATTCCACACGATGAGAAATAAACCCATCTGTAACACCAGCTCCTGCCAACTCCTTCTACAGAACGGCTCTGTGGAAAATATCACACCAAGTGAGATAATTGTTATTTCCAAGTCTTTACACTGAGAATTCATCCAGATACTTTTGTGATAAGAGCCCTTTCAAGCAAATGTGAAGTCAATGTCATCTGTGATCTCAGATCTATCAGGACAAAGAAAATTATCCTGAGTACCCCGAGCTGAAAAAAAGTCACTGCTTCATTGCATTCAGATACTATCACAAGAAGAGTTTGCATGAACAAAACTCTTTGAAGGATCAGAGAGTTTATGTCCTGGCCCACAAACAACAGCTTACATTACAAGAGAGTTGATAAAAGCATCTATTTAATATTTTATTAGTTACATAAAACAAAGAACTGTCCTAATAATGAAACTGAATTATCAGAGTTGTCCTCCAGCGTTATCAGGAATTTGCAGCTTTAGTGCATTTTTAATTGTTCTAACATAGGGCACCAGCTTTTTGGTACAGAGAAGGTCACCAGGAAAACAACAGATATCCAGAGTAGCTCTGCAGCCTCTCCTGGGGTAAGACTCTGCTGCTCTTAGTGCCCATTTCCACTGCAGAACAGGCAAAAGGCCTCCCTGGGTTCTGTGCCCCATTGTGCTGGGGACTGTGGAGACACAAAAGAGAACAAAGTCCAAGCCCTGAAGGGCTTGTAGTGTAAAAAGACAAGAGAAAGGCAGTGGGATGCATTCAGAATCGTCTGGCTTTTTAATGCCTACATCCATTTGCCAGCCTTTCAAGCTGTCAAGAGAGAAGAATCATCTTGACCTGTTTCCTCAGACCCCCCCTCCTCTGTTGAAGCATTATTTCCAATGTTAATCAAAGCTTGGTCACACTTTTCCTTTCTTAAAAAACAACTTCAAACCAGTCATATTTCCCTGGCTTTTACAATTAGCATGATTAGGAAAGCATACAATTAGGAATACATGACCCAAAATGGAATGAAAACCAGAATATAAGTACTAGGAGAGGACGGGAAACACAGTGAGAATTTGGTTATTCAAAGTGAGAATTTGGTTGTTCAAAGTGAGAATCTGGATATTCAAACTGAGAATTTGGTTATTCTAATTGCTGCCCTTGACCACTGCTGGACAGATTTTCATGCAGACACAGATAATGTCCTCTAATTCCACTTCAGGAGTCTATTCCTGTCAGTTAAACGTTACTGAAAAGTCCCCACGGAGGTGTTCACTTAGAGCTGATGCTGGCACAGTTTTTTCTCTTTTCTAGCCAGCTGGTCACCCCCTGAACTCTCAGCTATTTTATCCCAACCTGAGAGGAAAATTAAAGGAGCCAACGTAAACATCAACAAAAGAAATCTCAGGGTCTAAAGGAACAACAACCGAACCTGAAGTTATGATTTCTTCTCACTCACAAAATTCAGACAAAAGAGGCTTAACACAAGAAAAAACAGCCCTGAAAAGGTCTGAGGCTATTCTGAAGCCCCTCTCCCCACCCTGCCCACAGACACCAGCACTGGCTTTGCCCCCTCTCCCCCTGCCACCCTCTCCTAACCACTGATAGAAAACTCACGGATCCATTTCCTTACACTTGAATCTTAGAGTCCCAGAGGCTGGCATTCAAATTTATTGTGCATGCCATTCAATAAAAACCTTTTCAGATCAATTTTTCAACACAGATGCCTCAGTCCTATGCAACTTAAACACCAGAACGTGGAAGCTGACTGTCTCATTACAGCACCCCTATGAGAAAACTCACTACAGTCTCTACACAAATAGACAGAAGCCCCACTACATTAAAATGAAACCAAATCATCTTAGCAAACCTCTTTTTTCCTCATGGTCTTCTCTCTTCTCTCTGCAACGTTGCTCCATCTTACACACACACTTAGATGAGCCATAAGTGCTCTGTTTGAAGTGCATAAAAGCTATCCAGAGCTCTCCTAAGAACGAAACAGGTTTAATATTTTCCCATCCATGTTCCTGCCACAAACATTCACCGGCAGCGTGCTAGCTCCAAGAGCAGACATCTGATTCTTGACATTTAAAGATACAATACTGGTGAAAAATAGTGACGCTGTATTAACCACCAACAGCTTGTGAGGGAGTAGGTGATGTACTCCTCAAGTGCACGATCAGAACAAGCAATAATTGCAACCTTTGAATTTCTTATTTTTGACTCAGAGCCATGAAAACAGAGGAGTCGCCAGATAAACAAATCTGGACACGGTACAAGAACTGTTTTGTGGGGATTTTATATTCCATGGCAAAAAGGAAAACAGGTTGTTTTCCTGCTGGAGCAAATATTAATGCACCCCAAAGTTTCTCAAAAGCTTTCATAATAAAATAAGAGGTAAATGAAGGCATGTTCTGAAATTATAGAAATCAAAGAATTTGTATCCTGGTAACATTCTGTTAATTGACACTGCACTGCTAAGTGCAAGCACTACAAGCTCAAATTCCCTCCACCCCTACTGGGACTGCCTTAGAAACTCAAAAAGTACAAAAAGTACACAGAAAGGTCTTATTTTTCCCCCATGAAAAAATGAAGCCTGTTCAAACATGAACGGTTGCTTTGAAATACTGAATGCTGGTGAAAAAGAAAGGGGAAAAAAGAAAAAAAGAGGCTAATTTATCTTTTAATTTCAGCAGCATTACCCCTCGTTTGGTGATCAGTGAGCTCTGGGGCAAGCTGGGCTATCAGAGCACACCTCCATCCCCCACCAACACCTGAGACAAGGCAGAGGACAGTTAACAGCAACCAGCTCTCCACACTGTACCTGGAGGTACTGACATGACCGTTCCTGTTGACACGTCTCTGCCTTCACCACTGTCTGGTCCATGTTAACTGATGCTTTCTGGTAAACTTCACGGGCTCTGCTCACGGTTAATGTGGAGGACCAAGAGCTTTTCTTCATTAACTGGGAGTCCAAATTCACAGGCAGGTTTGCACAGGTAGAGCATTTGACATCATTATTGCTTCTGGATGACTTCACAGTATGTTCGCTAATAGTGTTATAGGCTTCCATAAAGTACTGGGAAGAAGAACGGTCAGGGCATCTTCCCATGGTCATGACCCCACTGGGACCATGATAAATGCAAACATCATTGTCCAAGTTGTCATCTGAACTCCACCATCCTGAGGCATTGGACCTGGGCTTACCTTCCGAGCGCCTCTCTTTGCTCTTGCTGCGCTTCCCATACCTCATCGTCTGCGGCTCCTCGGGGCTGGCCTTGCTCCCGTTGACGCTGCCCTTGGAGGGTCCCTCCAGCGAGTGGGACTTGGTGAAGAGCTTCTGGACGGAGTGGACGAGGTGGCGGATGCGGCCGGGGCTGTCGCTGCGGTGCTCCAGGGCGGTCCTCTTGTACTGCAGCGTGTGGTCCCCGTCCCGGTTCAGAGGCAGCTGCCGCTCAAACTGGTCCAGCAGGTTGGCGGGGATGCGGTTGGACTTGTTGGGGGCCCCGTGGGGCACCAGGGAGCACTCGTCCTTCAGCTCGTGGTGGGAGCTGTAGTGCCTGCGGGGAAAGGTGCTGCTGGCCATCTGCTCGCTGTAGGGCACCACGCACTCCGCCTGGAAGGAGTTCCTCTGAGTGTAGTAGGGGTGGT